ACCTGAGCTGAAGTCGGCTGCTTAACCGACTGAGCCACCCAGGCGCCCCTCAAAATAAACTTTAAAAAGAAAAAAGAATACAATTTTATTTAACTCACCAAATTCAAGTAAAAAAAACTGATACAGCCATTACTTTAAAAATAAATTACAGGGGCACCTGGGTGGCTCAGTCAGTTAAGAGTCCCACTTCGGTTCCGGTCATGATCTCACAGTTCATAGGTTCGAGCCCTGCGTTGGGCTCTTTGCTGACCACTCAGAGCCTGGAGCCTGCTTCAAATTCTGTGTCTCCATCTCTGCCCCTCCCCTGCTCACACTCTGCCTCTCTCAAAAATAAACATAAAAAAAATCTTTTTTAATAAACAATAAATAAATTATAAAGTACAACAAAGTAAGGTTTTTACCAGCAACATTCAGGGATAAAAAGATTAGAGTATGTATTTAAAAAAGCAACATGATGATGGACAATTCTAAAACAAGTACTCTGCACATTTTTAAAAGTTACCCCACTCAGGCTCAAAGTCAAGTTCTTCAGACAACTACTTCACTAGCCTAAGAATTGTTGCTCTTACTGTCATTCCTCACACTGCAACCAATGACTTTCCTGAAGTGCAGAAGTAACTTGTTACCTGGGAGAAGGAGGAGGCACTCTGTAGTCACTGGAAAACCACGTCAAACCTAGATCAGTGTTTAAAGCCTTCTTGAATTTGATGCTTACCTGACATTTTTTCCTTTCAGCCCAGAAAATTTCTAATATGTTACTAAGTCTTGCCACCTACCTCAGCCAAACAGATGCATCCAAACCTACTCAATCAAAGGTCAGTTTAAGTAACCGCATTCTGTGAAACTTTTAATATTTCCAGCATAATCTCTCAATAAATGTTTAATATTCAGTACCCATTAGGCACTAGATACGGGGATACGAAGGTACATTTCCTATACACAACAATCTCAAAGTAGAAGAAAAAAATCTTAACCCAATATTCTAATATTTATAAAGTGCTACAGTAGCATCAAAATGAAAACAAAAACAAAAGCCCCACCAAGAATTCTGCTCCAGATTATCAGAGATGACTTATCAAGGGAAAAGAGATGCACGATAAAGAACTACGGTTGTCAAGGTAAATGTCATAAGGGAGTAAGAAACTATGTAAATACTGTATTTCCAGTAAACATTTATCATCTTCAGTGTCATACAGTGATGGAAAATGTCTTGTACACAGTGCTCTCATGTTACCTGAACACTCCTATACTTTCTTTACAGCATCAGTTATTTCATATTCACAGTACAGTCCCAAATAAAATGACAAAAATTTGGCCAATGAATTTCAATCTTCTGCAGATCAAAGCTTTTAACTGGGTTTCAAACAATGCAGGAAAACTGATCAGAATTTTCATTTTCCTGTCTAAAAGTATCTTATGATAAGGATACCAAAAAACAAAGCCACAAAATGCCCAAAATGAACAACCTACTCCTGAAGGAACAAGAATAGCACCATCTTTACATTTTCTAATTATTTTGCAAAAAGTATGTCTGAGTTAGTTTAAAGAAAAAGTGCCTAAAAACACTTGAGTTAAAACAGTGTATAAATCCTAAATACCTACCATCAATAAGAGGAATATTTAAAGTCATTGCCAATTGATTAGCATGTTTTAGAAGTTGCAGAAAGCTGGACTTCGGTTCTGGTGGGTAACAACTATTTGATATCATTCACGTTCTGGTCCCAACCAACCTTTCCAGATCCATGGACATTTTTCCCCTCCTTGAACTCTCTTTCCCTGCCACAGTCCACTACTCAAACAAACTTTCATGACTCCCTGCCTCCTTACAAGATGTCTCTCAGACTCAAATGTCCTCCCCTAATTTAAAACGCACTTTTTTACACCAGGGACACGTCACCTCCTCTATGAAACAGTCCTAAGCATAAATTAATCACTCCGTTACCCAAGATCCCAGAACATGTTGCTTGTATTTCTATTTAAGCATTCATTTGCCTCATAAAAGGATGAAAACGTACACACATCTGTTTCCCTACTAGACTGTAAAACTTTTGACGGCCTTAGTCTTGGTTACTCCACTATACTGAGCCAGGCACTTGGAAACGACGAGTGAAATAACCGATTCTCTTGGAAGCCTCGTGTTTGATAAACACTTCAGATTTCACGTTAGAAACCAAGGAATGCAGTCCCAAATTCCCACGCCTCATCTTTTCTGAAGTGACCCTATTACCTGCCATTTCTGAATATTCCCTAAAGGACTCCAGCCTATTCTCAACATTTTCCTAGCTTTATATTCTCCATCTTTCATAAAATGATCACCTACCTCGAAAGCTTTGGCCATTAATATAAATGTGCCTTTCCCGCTTCCACCAATAATCCAGTCTCCAAAGAAAAAGACCAATATACCACAAATATTCCCAAATCACTTCGTACAAAAAACCCAAAGTATCTTTGACGCCTGAAGACACACAAATTAGCCAAAGTTAAGAGTAATGGTTAGGTTAAATTCGATTTGGGGGCCGCCCAAAAAGCGGCTGCCGTATTTCAGTGCTCTCCAGACTCATTTGCACAAACGGCCAATAGTTCTGAGAGGCGAGGGAGACTTTTTGCTTTCACGCCCGTTTCCCCGATCCCTTGCCCTGGACTACTCCTTAGCGATCCGTTTAAATGGGGCCTTCTGGTCAGAAAAGCGAAGCAACTCTGAAGGAGCAAGACCCAAACACGGAACAAAGCGCCTGCCGGCTGTGTTTAAGTAGGACGCCATTACGTGGGGCAGTGGCCTGCGCCGCTTGTGCGAATAAGACGACCAAGGCCCCCAAGCGCGGGCTCGGCACCCTACAAAAGAAACCACACGACGAGACAAAGCCTAGGAAAACTGACTCTTGGCTGGCTAGGCAGCAGAGAAGACACATAACTAGGGAAAGACGGCTTACCTTCGTGAGTCTTCGCGATCTTCGCCATTTTGTCCACTCGAACACACAGACGGAACTGGCGCTCCCAAGAACTTCCGCTCGCTGCCGCTGCCACGGAGAAAAATAGCTGGGAGATACTCTCTGCGCATGCGCCAAGCGGGAGCGCGCTCCGTTGGGCGACACGTGACAGAGTAGCCACCTAGAAGGAACAGAGAAATGCATTGTGGGGGTGGGGGAGGAGCTAATGTTGGGCCGGAGGCGGTTTTCGTGGTGACCGAGAAAATGGCCTCGCGGCCCATAATGTCTTTAAGGGAGTAAGTTTGCCCTGGAGGAAGGTGGATTACGCGAGAACAGTGTACAGTAAGAAACACTACGGATTTCATGGCTGGGAGAAACTTCAGACCTCCAATTTATTTTCTCCAAATAGACCGGAAGGTGTCTTGGTGCAAGACAAAAGCTTTCCTTAGCATCTGTCTCTCAGCTGTTGCAGTGGTTAGCTGTAGAAACAGTCCTATAAGCAGTCACATCCTACGTGCTGAAATTCAAGATTTTCCTTCAAAAAAAAAAATTACCATCTGGGTAGGAGTTTCATTTACAACATTGTATTTCCAAGCACTGTTTACCTTACAAACAACCTAGTAGACAAGTTGTTGCTAATCCCATTTAAGAAATAAGAGAAAAACTAGGGCGGGGGTATATATAAATTGTGCAAGGTCACACAGTTGCTAAATTACACAGCAGGAACTTTGCCACCCTAAAAAGCCTTTTAACTTTATAGGTTCTTAGAAAACCACTGATCATCAGCATTAACACTTATGAAATGCCTCTCTTAATCCTAAATGTCATTCTGAAATCAGGAACTTTTAAAAGATCAGAATATGGCTTTTTCTTTTTCTTTTTTTGACAGCTCATAAAGGTTCTATTGTTGGTATTATATTGGTTTTTCACTCTTTGTGTAAAGGGTGATTATCTTAATTTAAATCCAAGTTAGTTAACATATAGTATAATAATAATTTCAAGGAACAGAATTTAGTAATTCATCACATATAACACCCAGTGCTCATCCCAACAAGTGTCCTCCTTAACGCCCCTCATCCCTTTAGCCCATCCCCCCACCCAACACCCTGCCAGCAACCCTCAGTTTGTTCTCTGTATTTAAAAGTCTCTTACAGTTGGTGACCTCTTTTTATATTATTTTTGATTCCCTTATGTTCTTCTGTTTTGTATCTTAAATTTCACATATGTGAAATGAAATGATGTATTTGTCTTTCTCTGACTTATTTCGCTTAGCATAATATACTCTAGTTCCATCCACATTGTTGCAAATGGCAAGACTTCTTTTTGATTGCCGAGTAATATTCCATTGTGTGTGTGTGTGTGTGTGTGTGTGTGTGTGTGTGTGTGTGTGTGTCCCCCATATCTTCTTTATTCATTCATCAGTCAATGGCTATTTGGACTTTTCCCATACTTTGGCTATTGTCAATAGTGCTGCTATAAACATTGGGGGGCATGTGCCCCTTCAAATCAGCACTCCTATATCCTTTGGAAAAACACCTAGTAGTGCAATTGCTGGTCAAAGGGTAGTTCTATTTTTAATTTTTTGAGGAACTTCCATACTGTTTTCCAGAGTGGCTGTACCAGTTTGCATTCCCATGAACAATGTAAGAGGGTTCCCCTTTCTCCACATCCTCACCAACATCTGTTGTTGCCTGAGTTGTTAATTTTATGGCTGTCTTTTTCTTTTTTTTTTTTTAATTTTTTTTTTTTACGTTTATTTATTTTTGATAGAGACAGAGCACAAGTTGGGGAGGGGCAGAGAGAGAAGGAGACACAGAATCCGAAGCAGGCTCCAGGCTCCAAGCTGTCAGCACAGAGTCCAATGCAGGGCTCAAACCCACAAACCGTGAGATCACGGCCTGAGCCAAAGTTGGACGCTTAACCGACTGAACCACCCAGCCACTCCTATGGCTGTCTTTTTCTATGCATCATTACACTAGCATAACTTTGAAGTGTCAATGCAAGCCTTGGACTTTAGAAATGAAAAGAACATAACTTAGAAGGGAAGTGGGTACAGGAAGCAGCCTAAGAAAACAGGTAAGGATTAAGGTTAGAGCCTTCACAAAGAAAACAGTTTACCTGGCTGTGTGATAAGACTCACAACACAAATACTTAGTAGAAACTTCAGTAACAAATCAGTGAAAAAAATCAATCTGATGAGATAAAATTTTCAATTTTTAATTGTTTTAATTTAGGTTATAGTTGGGGGAAGAAGGGGATGAGAGAAAACATGTAGATTATTATACAAATTATTAATAAACTCTAGTTCTTGGATTGGTAGAGGGCCCACAGATATTACTTACATGGTTTATAACCTAAACATAGATTATACTTTTATATATACAAAATAACATGTTTTAAAATAATTAAAGGAGGGGTGCCTGGATGGCTCAGTCAGTTAAGCGTCCCACTTCAGCTTAGGTCATGATCTTGTGGTTCGTGAGTTAGAGCCCTGCATGGGGCTCTGATAGCTCAGAGCCTGGAGTCTGCTTCAGATTCTGTCTCCCTCTCTCTCTCTGCCCCTCTCCCTCTCATGCTCTGTCTCTCTCAAAAATAAAATTAAAAAAAGGTTTTTTTAATTTTAAATAATGAAAGGCAAAAAGAATGTGAAATAAGGAGTTACAGAAGGGTGTTATTATCCATCAAGAATCAACAATCTAAAAAACATCCATGTTGACAAAAAGAATCACAAAAACATTGCATTTCTTGGCTCTACTTTATAAAAAAAGATGAATATGTATACACAAGGAAATTACTGTCCCATAAAAATATATGCAAAGGAAATTCACTATAGTGTTAATAGTGGATGTTTATGAATGATGAAATTATGAATTATAAAAATAATTTTTAGTATTTTCCAGATATTCTGCCAAAAACACATATTATTTTTATAAACACACACAAGAAATGTGTTAAAGAAATGAAAAGCATCTGCAAAGTAAGTATCACATGTCCTTTGTCTTTCCAAGATAGAAGCTGCACCTGCTGGCCAGTTTGCATTATATGCGTATTTCTCTAGGTTCCTAGGTATTCGGTTACTTTAAAAAAAAATTTTTTTTTTAATGTTTATTATCTCTGAGACACACAGAGCATGAGTGGGGGAGGGGCAGAGAGAGAGGGAGACAGAATCCAAAGCAGTCTCCAGGCTCTGAGCTGTCAGCACAGAACCCGACGCGGGGCTCGAACTCACAGACCGTGAGATCATGACCTGAGCCTAAGTTGGATGGTCAACTGACTGAGCCACCCAGGCGCCCCGGTATTCAGTTACTTTTGTAGGGCAAAGGCATATATAGGATAGTGAGACATGAGAAAATTTGCCAGAGTATCAAGGGAGATTCCCTTCTTTTAGTCTTCTTCCAAGGACTAATTACTCTTTTTTTTTTTTAAGAATTTTTTTTTTTTCTCCCAACGTTTATTTTTATTTTTGGGACAGAGAGAGACAGAGCATGAACGGGGGAGGGGCAGAGAGAGAGGGAGACACAGAATCGGAAACAGGCTCCAGGCTCTGAGCCGTCAGCCCAGAGCCTGACGTGGGGCTCGAACTCACGGACCGTGAGATCGTGACCTGGCTGAAGTTGGACGCTTAACCGACTGCGCCACCCAGGCGCCCCTAATTACTCTTTAATAAAACAATGACTTGGACATTCAGACAATAAGTAACAGAGATTTTTCAATAAGTACTTTTTACTTTCCGTTTTCAATATTAACACATAATACTCAGATATCACTTAAAATACATTTCCTGCCCTTTTCTGGTGAAGTTTTTTTTCCAAAAGTTAGAAAAGGGATCTAGCTTTTATAATCTAAACAACTGACAGCGATGACATCCAATTAAAAGGAAAATCGATTCCTTTTCTAAGTATTTAAACAAAATTTTAATGTTTATTTTTGAGAGAGAGAGCACACACGCATGCACATACATATGGGGTAGGGGAAAGAGGGAGAGGGAGACAGAATCCAAAGCAGGCTCCTCGCTGTCAGCACAAAGCTGAACATGGGGCTCGAACCCACAACTGTGAGATCATGACCTGAGCCAAAGTCAGTCAACCAACCAAGCCATCCAGGTGCCCATATTCCTTTTCTTTTCAGGTAAGCTCTATACCCAATGTGGGGCTTGAACTTAAGACCCTGAGATCAAGAGTTGCATGCTTTACTGATTGAGCCAGCCATGCACCCTCATTCCTTTTCTTATCAGGAGCACTTGGAGGCTGGCTTTTCTGAGTCTCAAAAAAAATACCGCAAAGCAACAAGCATACATATTTTTTCTGGACAAAAAACAAGATGTAACAGTTTTGCAGAATGTTAAATGCTAGATGTAATTTTCTCAAATTACCTTTGGGATAAAACTGTAAAGGCCTTGAAGTTCTATGCTATAGGAAAACCACTGACAGTTTATCCAGCCCATTTTTTCTGAGGTAAAAGAAGGACTTTCATGGATAAATGGCCCACAATCTTGATGTGCAGTGTTTCCTAGAAGTCTCCTATATCAAAGGAATATCAGACTCTACCTACTCCAAGCCAAAAATCCAAAAACTTCTATCTCCCTTTCAGTTATGCCTAAAATCCCAAAACTACCGAGTCTTATTTCTGAAATTTTAACGCATTACCAGTTAAAAAAAAGATAACCTTGAGACGATGTTCTAAATATGTCTGTCAATGTGCCTGTCATGTCTAGCTTCAACTTAACTGACCAAATTCTCTGCTCAGGGAAACAGCACTGGCTTGTTCTCCTGGAAGAGATAGGTACCTGGCCAGCTACCTAGAACCTGGCCTAGAATACACGACATTCTACCCACAGAAAAAGAAGTTACTGGCTAGGCCAAGATTCCTTCTCTTGGAAATTTGAACTGGAAGTATGAAAGGAACTTGCTGGTTGCTATTGAAACAGAAAGAATCAAAGGAAAATGTCACCTGAATGACATAAGACTGAGGGATCATAAACTCCTGCTGCTCAAGTCCCCACAGCTACCCTAAATCCAGAACTATCTCCAGCTCCAACCTTCTAAAGGCCCATTCTTTAAATAATACTG